AAAATTTCCAAACGCTGTGAATGAAATGCACATCCACATACTGATGGCATTTAGAAGAGCAGATTATAAGACCAGAAAAGAAATTCTTCAGGACACATTATAACTAAAATGTCAAAAATCCAAAACAAATAAAAAAATTTAAAACTACAAGAGAAAAAGGTCAGATCACACTTAAAGGAAAATCAACGAGAACAGCAGCAGATTTCTTAGTAGAAACCCTAAAATATCCAGGAGGACTTGGAACTTTCAAGCCCTGAAAGAAAACAGCAACCAAAATGGCAATATCCAGCAAACTTATCCTTCAGAATCAAAGAAGAAATAAACATTCTAAGGTAAGCACAAACTAAAGGACTTCATGACTATTAAATCAACATTACTGAAGATACTTAAAAGGAATCCTACACACAGAAGATAGAAGAAATCTCATTAGAAGATTAGATAGGTAAATGAGAATTAGGATCTAAACAAACATTAGAAATAAATCAAATTGAAAAAAGTAATACATATCTCACTATAATGATGGTAAATGTAAACGCTCTCAATTCAATTAAAAAAAAGACTAGGGCTGGGGTTGTGATTCAGTGGTAGAATGCTTGCCTAGCAGGTGTGAGGCACTGGGTTCAATTCTCAGCATTGCATATAAATAAATAAAATAAAGGTTCATTGACAACTAAAAAAAAAATTTTTTTTAAGAACATTAAAAAAAAAAGACAAAGGAAGACGGGCAAAGTGGATTAAAAAGCAAGGCCCAACTAACTATATGCTCTCTGCAAGAAATGCAACTCACAAGTAAAGACATCCACAGACTAASTGAAAGGTTGGAAAAATCATATTCCGTGCAAATGAAACTCAAAAAGCTGACTTCAACCCMAAATCCTAATTACATAAAAGAAATACTACTTGACATTTATGGCTTTAGGCCTATACCTTTAGGCTCACAAAGGTACAATACAATCATACCGAATGATGTCAATATATTTCTCTAATAGGCCACCCAGACAAAAGTGACAAAGATACTATAGATAAAAAATACTATAAATCAAATGGACTTAACAGACATCTACAGAATATTTCATTCAGGAGCTGAATATACTTTCTGCTCAGCTGCTCTAAATAGTTTCTCCAAAACAGATCATATTTTAGGCCACAAATCAAGTCTTAGCAAATGCAAAAATAATAATAATATTTTTTAAATTCCTTGCATCTCACCATCATAATGGAATTAAATTAGAAATCAACAACAAGAAAACCAAAGAAACTACACAAACACACAGAGATTGAACTGTTGGGAGCTGCCCTGGATGCAGGCAGCTTTAAGTCCTGATGCACCAGAATTGTGAACAATTATTGTGCCCCGMAATAACTTGGGCTTTACCTCCACTCAGATAATGAAGTGTGGTTCCAGGAGTAGGCGTAACCCCGTGTGGTTGAGTTACTCTCACCTGTTCCTTTGTAATCCTACCCCTTTGCCCTTTTGGGGATAGAATGTTCCATGGAATCTCCCCTTGTGTCTCTCCTGTATAAGAATAAAGAATTCCAGTGGCTCTCTCTCTTTCCACGAACCCTTAAGGTTGGAGAGCCGTCACGGATTTTGAAAAGGTACCTCTGTGTGGTTGCGTGCTTTCTTTGTCGTTTTCTTAAGTTGTTATAATAGTAAGATTTTGTGATCCCAGATTTTGGTTGCCAGCTAGGATAGATGGTGATACTGAATTACACTTTTGAATGATGATGCTTCATCTAAGAAATCAGAAGTAAAGGGGCTGGAGTTGTGGCTCAGAGGTAGAGCGCTTGCCTAGCACATGTGAGGCACTGGGTTCAATCCTCAACACCACATAAAAATGAAATAAAGATATTGTGTTCACCTACAACTAAAAAATAAATATAAAAAAAAGAAATCAGAGGTGAAATTTCAAATAATTCTTAGAATCAATAAGAATACAAATACTATTAAAAAAAAGGATTGAAACTAGGCCCCTCTTTCTTACCCTATATAACAATTCAACTCAAAATGGATCAAAGATATAGGAATAAGACCAGAATCTTTCCAAGTGGTAGAAGAGAACTGTATTAGTCAGGGTTCTCTAGAGGAACAGAATCAACAAGAAGTATAATAATAAAATGAGGATTTATTAGGTTGGCTTCCACGAACAGAAGCTGTCCACAATGGCCATCTGTAGGCTGGAGAGCTGGGACAACCAGCAGCTGCTCAGTCCAATAGGCTGAAGCCACAGAAAAAGACATATCAACTATGCTACCCTAGTCTGAGACCTAAGTCTTCTGGAGAATCACTGTCAGAGCCTGCTTTGGAAAAGTGAAAAAGTGAGAATCCRATATCTTCAGATGATTGCAGCACCAATCAAGAACTTGAACACAGCAGCGATGAAGAACCCCTACAAGGAGAATCAATCTTGCATCTGCTGCTGCTTCTTTGTTCTTACAACTTTTATTTCATCCAAGCCATCATCCTATTGGTTGGTCCTGTCCACGCTTAGGGAGGGTCTCCATTTCAGTTAGCTATCCCACATGCCAATCATTCCTACACACACTATCACACCCACAATCCTCTTAATCTGCAGGATCTCTTAATCCAAMAAGTTGACAAATTTAACTGTGACAAGAACATAGGGGAAATTATCCAAAACATAGGTATAGGCAGGGAGATCCTCAAAAGGATTCCTAAAATTCAGAAATAATACCAAGAATCAGCAGGTCACGGTGGCACACATCCTATAATCCCAGCAATTCAGGAGGCTGAGACAGGAGGATCATGAGTTCAAAGCCAACCCCAGCAATTTAGTGAGGCCCTAGGCAATTTAATGAGACCCTGTCACAAAATCAAAACTAAAAAAGGGCTGGGGATATGGTTCAGTGGTTAAGCACCCCAAGTTCAATCCCCAATACCAAAATTAATAACACCACCAAGAAACGAATGGCAGCTAGATAAGAAATTTCGAAACAGCAAAGAAACAACATAAGGAGAGAACCTACAAAATGTGAGAAAACCTTTGCCAGCTCTTCTTCTAATAAAGGATATATCTAGAATATATGAAAACTAGAATATATAAAAAAATTTAATACCAAAACCCCAAATAACTCAATAAATTAATAAGTACAACTAGAAAGACACTTCCCAAAGAAAGTACAAATGTCAACAATTATATGAAAAAAATGTTCAACATCTCTAGGTATCAGGGAAATGCAAATCAAAACTACACTGAGAGGGCTGGGGTTGTGGCTCAGTGGTACAGCGCTCACTTAGCACATGTGAGGCACTGTGTTTGATCCTCAGCACTACATAAAAATATATAAATAAAATCAAGGGAGACCATTAGGAGTAGAGGGTCCAGGGAAGGACAAGCAGTGCAATAGGGGACGTACCAGGCAGTGAAATTGATTGAATTATGCCACACACATATATAATCATTAAGTGGTCCAATTAAAAAATTTTTTAAATAAAAAGGACATTAGAAAAAAAATATGAACAAGGTCAATAGCTTAGTTAAGAACTAAGCAATTTCTCAGTTTTGATAAATGTACTATTATTAGAAAGATGTTAATATTAAGGAAAGCTCATTGAAGGATAAACAGGTACCTCTCTGTACTAGTTTTGCAACTTTCCAAAATAGAGTTAACAACAACAATAAAAATAGAATTCTATTTACTTAACAAATCTTGTTGAATAAATTAATAATTATTATAACAAGACTGTTTTGCATCTAAATCATATTAATGATCCAAATCACTTAACCTCTCTCAAAAGTATTTATCAAGCCAGGCGCAGTGGTATATACCTATAATCACAGCAGCTTGGGAGGCTGAGGCAGGAGAATCACAAGTTCACAGCCAGCCTCAGCAACTTAGTGAGTCTATAAGCAACTCAGTGAGACCCTATCAATAAATAAAATTTAAAAATGGTGGAGGGGTGAGGGGGAAGTGGGAGGGGTGAGGGGGGTAGGAGGGTGACGCTGGGATTGTGGCTCAGCCATAGAGCACTTGCCTATGAGCACATGCGAGGCCCTGGGTTCCATCTTCAGCACCACATAAAAATAAATCAAATAAAGGTATTGTGTCCAACTACAACTAAAAAATAAATATTAAAAAATAAATAAATAAACAGCTGGGGATATGGGGAAGTGCCCCTGGATTCAATCCCAGAACAAAAAAACAAAAAAGCATTTGTCAAGTAGAAATGAAAATACTCATTGTACAGTTAGTTTTTTCACTGAGGAGTAGAACTAATTTTGTGACTGAGCAAGAAAATAATATAGTGGCTAAGAGCATGGGATTTGGCATCAAGTATCAGCTCTCCATTTGCTAGCCCTGTGCTTAAGCAAGCCATGAAATTCTTCCATGCCTCAGTTTTCTTCTCTGTACAAAATAGAAGTAAAAGTATACAGGGATTTTTGAATAGGGATAGTATATAATAATGGATATAAAAGCATGTAACTTAGCATCTACTATAGAGTAAGAGTTTAATAAAGATTAAAGGCCTAACAGAATGAGTGTTGAAGAAGGTAAACACTATTAGCTGTAGTTCATCTATAGTTAACATTTGAATGTTAACAAAAAATGCTAATACATAACCAAAAGATTTCATACTATAATCACCTGACTCTATAACCATATAGCAGTTAAAAGTTAGGAGAAATGCTCAAATCAGTTATAAAAATTATTTTCTATATATTTCTATCTAAATCTGTTTTTTTCCTTTCTTTTTTTTTTTTTTTTTTTGTATTGGGGATTGTACTCAGGATCCCATGCATGCTAGCCAAGTTCTCTACCACTGAGCTACATCCCTAGTCCTTTTTATTATTTTATTTTGAGTCAGGGTCTCCTAACCCTCCTGCCTCATCCTCCTGAGTAAGTGGGCTTACAGGTATACATCACTGAACCCAGTTTATCTGGGAATATTCTAAAGTCAGTGTCATATTTCTATTTGTACCTTTCACACAGAAATTCAAATCCCTTCACAGGTGTAACAAATGAAACTGCACACTTACCAACACCTTGGGGCCGACTTAACCTTACAGGATTAATTTCAACTTTTTGGACATGAGGTGGATATTCTTTCCTAGAAAAGGAAATTTATATGGTTTTACTCAAATAGGAAATGTAATTTTCAAAATTAAAAAGTTAAGGGGATACTTACAATGCATTTATTAAAAGTAAATCATAGTTTCTTTGTCATATAAAAAGTCATATTACAAGATACTAAAACTGTATTAATAAACTAAAGTTTAAGGTATATAAAATCCCTAAATAGCAGTTACTCTACTTTATTTAGACTGTCAATCTTTCCAAGCCAATAAAAGGCAGGCTGTTAAATAAATATTTAATAAATAAATTTAAATCACTGTCCTTTCAAAGTTCTCATTCTGTTTTATTTTATTAATGTATACACACATACACATATTTTTTAAAGACAGGGCCTTGCTATGTTGCCCAGACTGGCCTTGAACTCCTGGAATCAAGGGATTCTGCTGCCTCAAGTCTCTCAAGTACCTGGGACTAAGGTGTGCACTACCAAACCTAGCTTTCAAAATAGTCACTTTGGAAAGCTCTATACATTTATTCCCCAAATGCACAAACCTTTAGAATTGCTTTTACAATCAGTTTATAAAAATCACATTTAAAAACTAAAACTTAAAATCCATACACCCTACTTTGGATAAAGAATTACCCAGCTTAATATTACTCAATATATCCAAACTCACTATAAATGTTTATGCTTATTTTAAAACAAGTCAATGAATAAAACAATAAATGTTGAATAAAATATAGGTTTTGAGGATAATTACAAAATCAGTACAAAAACTGTTATGTACAAAACCATCAATTATGGAACAAGTGTTTTAGTTTTTGTACTATTACTACATTATAGCAGAGAAAATAAATATACTAGTTTTAAAATATAATTTTGTCAAGAGTTCATGTACAATTGATTTAAACTTAATTTTTAGTAACTAAGTGTCCTATATACTATATCTATATAAGTTCAAACTACACTAATTTGGGGGAAAAAAACAAAAGCCCTACAGGTAGTGGTAGAATAAAAACATTWATATACAGAGAATTACAAAAAGTACAAATAGGCCAGGGAGCTACAATAGTTAGATACTTTCCCACCCTAAATGAAAGCTTCCAAAATATTCCTGCTAATATTTAACTGGGGGATTAAAAAGAGGCTATTCTATTTATCTACAAATCTGCTCACACTAGTAATGAATATTTTCTAATCATCACAAATCACAAAGGCATATTTTTGCAAGGATTTCATATTCCTACACTATAAAAGTCAAAAGTACCAAAATGAAAATAAAATGTGAAAATTACAAAAGAAACTATTAAAGAATGGTGACAGTAATATATTTGTATTAGCAGTTAGCAAATATTGAAAATCATATGTCAGGTACTATTCTAACTGCTTTTTATCTATTAATTCCTTTAATTTTCACAATAACCTTATGAGTATACTTTTTTACAAATGTATAAATGAAAAGACTGAGGCACAGTGAGAATAACTTCTTCATGGTCACATAGCTACTAAATGGCAATACCAGAAGCTGAATATTAGCAAAGTCTTATCAATCATGATGAGTACGGCAATATCTGGTACAGCTGGGCAATTTCCACTCTGCCAAGATTTTAAAATTTGTGAAAGAAGATACAAAGTGTGAAGATTAGTGGTAACAATAGTGGAAAAGGTGGTAGATATTATTACTTGAAACTCTTCTGTAAGGAACAGTTATCTTCCAGTTCATTTTATGCACTTTGTAAAATCTTATTAGCAAATCTGGCATGGTATTGAAGGCGGTGTTTATTTCAAGACTACTAAGATGGTTTAATAAATATATAATTATTTACATCAGTATGACTCAGGGATAGTTATTTTTTCCTTAAGGTTCTAGTTTTTATTGAAATTTTGGCCCTTGGGAGCTCCTTCAGCTATTTCTGTGTTCTTTTGATGTAATTCTATCCTGGTTTTCACTGTGTAACACACATAATTGGAAAATTTAGAAAAATATGGAAAACTTTACTAATTGTGATAATACAAATGTGTACAATACAATCTCTGAACTGTTCCAATTTTAGCTGCTGAAGCAGGCACCCTTTCACTTACTTATTCATTTTTTGGAGTAATTATCTGGTTTGTGGCAACATTCGTTTTGTGTTTTCCCCAGTACATCCCTAGAATCAATCATTTCTCCATGTTTCTTTTATTAGAGAGTGATATTTAAAAAACAGAACGTGGGCACTGTTTATCAACTAATGTCAAAAGATGTATATTTCTATAAAAAATAAATCTATTCATTTTACACAGTTAGAATTCATTATTTCAGATACTTTTTAACTGATAGAGCAGTTAAAAATTTAAAAGATGTATCAAAATCTCCCCAAATTTATTTCAATTAAGAACTACTTGCATTCTAAAAATTTTCAGGGAGCTTTATATATATCTGTTATACTTTTATAAATTGTGCATATTATAAAATGTCCTTCTTTATCTTGTTTAGTGCTTCTACTCCTTAATTCAGTCTCATTAATTAATATTCTACCCTTGCTTTCTGTTTGTGTTTCTCTGTGACCCTAAACATACCTTTAGTTGCAAACTGTTTAGTATGGTTCTTACAAAAAATACAGTAGAATAGTGTTTAATCCAACCAGTTTGTCTTTTATTAAATGTATTCAACCAGSCAGGCACAGTGGCCACACACCTACAATCCCAACTGCCGAGGAGGATCCCAAGTTTGAGGCCAGCCTGCACAACTTAGCGAGACTATCTCAAAATAAAAAGTAAAAAAGGCTGGGGATGTAGCTTAGTGTTAGAGAGGCTCCAGGTTCAATCTCCAGTACTGTAATCAATCAATCAATCATCAAACTGTTTATATTTATAATAGCTGACAGACTTCATGTTTTTCTTTCATCTGTATTAGCTGGTTTTTAGATTTATATTTATTGTATGTTTCCTTTTTACCTATTAACTATTCATTTCTTCCTCCAGTTAATTTAACAAAAGAATATTTTATCTCTCCCTCAAACCTTACTGCAGTTGCACATTTAATTTGCTTTGCTTTAACATGTTATGAACAGTCTAGGGGCTGAGGGAGTAGTCTAGTGGTAGAGAATATGCAAGGCCCTGAGTGAGGTTAATCCCCACCATCAAAAACAAAACAACAAAAAAGTACTATTTTCTCAAACACAACACAATATAGCAGCACAAGCACTATACGTCTCTAATGGAATGAGACCTTCAATATCCTTTAATTTCTCACTTAACCATTCCCTAAATAAGGACTCTCCCCAAATAAGGCCTTTTATTTTCCCTTTAACCCTTCCAGAAGGCTTGTTTTTCTTCTTTCTACCACCTTAACTCCTAAGAGTTAAGGAGGTAGAAAGATAGTTTGCTGAGATAGTTTTCAATATTGATTTTCATTTGCATCATATCTCCATTTAGAAAGTGCAATATGTTTAGCATTAACTGAACTGTCATTAACTTAACCTTTAACTGTACCAATTATAAATTTTATATATATATAAAATTATATTTCATGGAGCTGAGGTTGTAGCTCAGTGGTAGAGCACTTGCTTAGCACATGAGACACTGGGTTCCATCCCCAGCACCACATAAAACTAAATAAACAAAGATATTGTTTTAAAAAAGATTATATTTCAGAGAATAACACTTCCCTACCTAAAATGCTTAGAAGTCTTCTATTCCATTAATATAAGATACAAATTCTTCAGATCAGCTTACAAAAGCCTTTTGTGATCTAAGTCCCAGCCAATCTTRTAATATTCTTCCACTTTAATCTCTAGCTGTAGTGGTCCTTTTTTTCTGTTCACTGAACATGTTAAATTTATTCTTGCATTAATAACTTACCACTACCTTTTCCCTATTTGGAAAAGCCATTCTTAGAATGGTTGACTCCTTCTTTAGTTAAACATTAGCTTCATAATAGTAAAAGGTGTTTTCCTGAACACGGAATCTAAAGAAACCATATTGTCATTCTATCTCATCATCATCCAATTATACTTCTCTATACATAGAACAACGTATTTCAAGTTTCACTTGTACATTATTAATATTTGCCCCATCATAATATCAACTACAGGATGATCTTGTGTTTTGTTCCTCATGATATCGTTATGCGTAGAGCATAGTAGGCATTCAACAAATACTTGCAATTAATAGGAGTATGTATACAAAAAGCAGTGTGTAATCAGAGAAGATATTTACCAGGTCAAACAACTTTACAAATAGCTGTAAAGTATGGCAATGGCTGTTAAAAGTGAACCACTGGCCACTACGCAGCACTTCTGTATAGTGAATCAAAATATTGATTTTGAAGCTTATGATCAAAAATCAAAATTCAGGCATCTGAAAGGCACTGTGACCTTTTGTTTTTTGTACCAGGGATTGAACCCAGGGTCACTCAACCACTGAGCCACATCCCCAAACCCTTTTTTATATTTCATTTGGAGACAGGGTCTTGATGAGTTGCTTAAGGTCTAAGCTAAGTTAGGCTTTAAACTTGTGATTCTCCTGCCTCAGTCTCCAAAGCCATTGGGATTACAGAAATGTGCCACCATATCTATCTAGCTGTGGACTTGAAGAAACTGGGTGGGAATTCAATACATTCAAGACTGTCTAGCTATTTACTGTTTTACCACCTACTCTTTTCCTAGTGTTTTCAAGTTTAATCTCTATTTTGTTAATAATAGGTTTTATCATGTAGCAAGTCATTCTTCTCTATCCCCATTTCTTCTTCTTTTTTAAAAATAAGTCTTCAACTTTCTATTCTCAAATATTTACTCTTTTGGATAGAATTAAATTACATTCATTTTATTTTAAGCAGTAGCTGCCCACATGATATAAACTCCTACCAAATAGGAACAAAATATATGCCTCAAATTAGTTTCTTTAGATATATTTATATAATTGTAGGTACTATCATAAATGAAATTTTTGTCTTTTCAAAGACAAATTCCTGAGTTTAAACCCCAGCACCACCAAAAAAAAGGGGGGGGGGACAAATTCACATGATTAGAGGTGAATTAGAGTATTCAATTGATTAGGGATGAAATAATCATAGTTTTATAGCTATATATCATCTATTTATAGCTATATATCATCAGTTTTATAGCTATATATCATAGTTTTATAGTTATATATCATCTTGATCAATTCTTATTATTTCTAAAATTTCAGATGACTCATAATTCCAAGAAAGAAAAAAAATCATCTGAATATAAGTTTATTTTTATACATCTTGAGGCAACAATTGACAGTGTTATCATCAATTRGTTCCATTGCCCTATAAACAATTCAGCCATACTTATCAAAAGAATTAAAAACATTTGTAACATGGCCAAATGAACCCTTTTCCAGAGATTTATTCTAAGAAATGCAGTTAAAGATTTATAAGCAATATTGTTCACCAATGTGTTTTAATAATAGTGAAAAACAGCCACAAATGAGCAAATGAGTAAATATATTATGRGTATCTATAAGACAAGCTATTATGCAGACATTAAAAATTATTTTTAAGAGCTGGGCATGGTTGCACCCTCCTGTAATCCTAGTGAYTCTTTAGGTTAAGGTAGGAAGATCACAAGTTTGGGCCAGGTAGGACATCCTAATGAGACCCTGTCTCAAAATAAAAMATAAAAAAATGCTGGGAATGTATCTCAGTGATAGAGTACCCCTGGGCAACCACCACCTTAACAGAAATCTTTCTTTAGAAGCTAACTTAATAATACTGGAAAATGCTCAGAACATACTGTTAGGTAAACACAGTTGCTCCAAACTGTTGGAACACACAGTTAAAAGTATTTTCATTATGATTAACCATATGTTAAGCATATTAAAAAGGGCATACAAAAATAAATAGAGAGAAAATACATCAAAATTCTAACATATGCTGTATGAGGTATGTACGCACGCCTGTTATTCTGGCAACTTGGGAAGCTGAAGTGGGAAGACCTTGAGTTCTAGACTAGCCTTGGGAACTTGGTAAGATCCTGTCTCAAAATGAAACATAAATAGGGCTGGAGCTATAGTCAGTGGTAAAGCATCCCTAAATTCCATCCCCAGTACCAAAAAATAAATAAAATAAAAATCCTAACATGTAATTTTCTACTCTGAGAACTTTTAAAAAAAAATTATATAAACCTCAACTACTCTTGTCTTTTTAAACACAACCTATAAGTAAACACTACCTGTATTTCCTATTTTTATTGTTTTATTCTCTTTACCTTTGTACTTTTGTTTCAAAATTCTCTATAGTTATGGACCCACTTTATACACTAAATATAAATATTAAAAATAAATTCTACATTTAAAAATCACTGTACACTTTAGTTTTATAATGTGTCAACAGATTATTTATATAAGGAACAAAATAWAACAGTTCAAATATAGATTATATATTCTGAGTTGTTGGTGCTACCACATACACTATATTCACAATACATATGGCCAAGAATCAGAAAAAACTTTGTTTTATTCAAGTTGTCAAAGTTACCCACAATGTAGAAAAACTGGTAGCAATTTCTTTTTCTTTTCTTTAAAGGCTAAATCTCTGGAGCTTAATACTATAAATTAATTTGTTTACTGTATCTTAGTTTTAAGATTATAACATATCTCAATGTGCCCAGCAAATAGTAAAAGTAGAAAAAACAGGGAGAGATTAAGCTTTTACAACTACCTGACTTTTATTAGATAAACCACTGTCTTATGAATATTGATTTATTTCAGAGATTTATAGTTCCTTAAGCAGTAAAGAATAAAGCTAAGAAAACTATCATTCCTAACACATCAGGGGGCATAAATGTGGCTTACTATTCCTAAAAGGGAGGAAACGGCTATGTGAACAAAAAATTAACAAAGTGATTGGGCTTGGGGCTATAGCTCAGAGGTAGAGCACTTGCCTAGCATGTGTGAGGCACTGGGTTCAATTCTCAGCAACGCACATACAAATTTTTTTAAAAAACGTCTATCAACAACTAAAAAAATTAACAAAACAAAATCTGATAACGCAAACATTCTTTTGTTTAACAAAATAATTTTATGTAAGGATCCAAAGGATTATGTACTAAATTCACCCTAACAGTAACTAAGTTGCCATGTAAAGCACTGAGGTATATTTGTTACAAGGACTTTCATAAACAGTTTCTGCTTCACATCTAGTTTTCAAGAGCTTTAGTCCTTAGAGGTAATCTTAGCAACAAAGGATTAAAAGAATTAACACCTATTATTATTAGTACTCAAAAATTTTCCATTTATTACAGTGTATAAAATCAATTTTAAATAATTATCTCATTTGTTCCCTACAAAACTTTAAAATTAACCATTTATAGCAATTAATAAGCCTACAGCTATACTGCTTATTTGTTGATCTTCTAACTCCTATTCTAGCATTATACTGATAAGAATGTAAGCTACAAGACAGTAGGGATTTTTGTCAACTCCAAGAAGAGTGCCTGACATATAAAGGCATTTAAATATTTGCTAAAATATATCATGAAATGAAACTCCCATTACAAAAATTATGTGTAAGTCAAAGCAGTAGAAAACAATTAGCATCAACCCTACAGGGCTACTGTAAAAACAAACAACAAAAAAAAAAAAAAACACCTAAGATCTTTCTATTATTCTGATAATACAACAGCACCCGAATTTCAATTACAATGGCATGAAGGGAAGAATATGTTTATTTGGACAAAACAAATGTCTGTTCTAAATGTGTGATTGTATGAAGAGCTATTTAAAGTATAACTCTAACAATTTTACCAAAAATATTAATGGTCTTACTAAAAAAGCAGTCACTTATGAGTAAAACATTTAAAAGATACAAAGGATTCATCTGTATCTAGAAGTAATAATTTACTCAAACAGGAAAAAACTGATGGGAAAGTGTCTCTTTTCTAGGAAATAGGTGATAAAATATTTYCATAGCCCATTCATTTAAAACACACAACACGTGTGAAATAGTTCAGAATTATATGTTTAAATCTTTTTTACTGGAAGGATTATCATTAAATTTGTACTTCTGAGCAGGCTGGGAATACAGGTCAGTGGTAAGCACTTGCCTAGCAAGTGTGAGGCCCTGGCTTTGATCACAAATACCACAAAAAGAAAGAAAGAAATTCAGGCTGATGATGTGCTCAGTCACAGAATGCTATAACCAGGATGCATGAGGCCCTAGATTTGATCCCCAGCAACACAAAACAAAACAAAACAAAACAAAAAAAAGTATTCCTGGAACTCAATGTTCATAAAGATATAATAAATTTTATATAATATTCCAGATTTCTTTTTACCTTCTCTACATATTTTTTTAATTATACAGGTGAAATTATAGATCAAATTATATAATTTTCTTTTTCACACTCACCAATTATATAAAAGTATTGCTTCAATATAAGGGCTTTTAACCTGTTTGGAAGGTCAGAAGGCAGGGTTCACAAAAAACTTAAAAAAGAATCTCATGAACATTTGAAAAAGATATGCACATACACAAAAAGTTTTCTCATCACAGGGGAGAGAAATTACTTTTAGGGACACTTGCTTTAGAATGATTATGATCATCTCATTATTCAAAGAAATGTGTATTCTTGAAAACGTTTTCCCATATCATTTATATTATTCATATTTCTCCTAAACACTATATGGTCACCACAGTTCTTACAAAGGAAACAAATACTGATAGAAAGTTGAACATAAAATTCTGTTACAAATTTTTTTTTATTAGAATAGAAAACATTTGCTGTTTGAGGTTCTAACTCCAAGTTTAAGTTGTCCCTAGTTTACTACAGAAAAGTATAAAAGCAGGATCATTATCACTGAATTATAACATGAAAGAATTTGATAATAAAACTGAAAGCAACTTTACTACCAAAGTACTGAAATATTCTATTTTTAAAGAAAAATAGGACACATCATCATATATATGTAATAACCATTCATGGAAAAATGGTTACTGTAAATTATGCCGAACGCATGTAAGCCAAATAATATGTTGTACCATAAACAGGTTTCCTTCTATTAAAATTAATACTTTTTAAAGACAGGGAATATAGCTCAGTGGCAAAACACCTGCCTAGCATGCATGAGGCCCTAGGTTTGGTTCCCAGAATAACCAAAAAAAAAAAAAAAAAAAATTGATAATATACTTTAATGATGAACTCTAATTCAATGGATATTTTTCAAAGCATATTAAAAGTCTGATATTTTACTGCTATATCCATGCTCTAATTTCAACAATATCAAGCTTACCTTTCTTTTCGGTCCGGATTGCTTAAAACATGAAAAAGAAAAAAAATGTAAGAGGCAAGACCTCATTGTTGATTTATCATTGTAGTTGCATTAACTGTAGTCAATAAGGCAAAACTATATTGTGATCAATTTGTTTTAAAGGCATTTTATGTATATTAAGTACTATGTTGTAAGTGTTATCCAAGCTATTTTTCATTTCTTGTTAATACCCAAAATAATTTAAACAATCWTCTTATGTTCTTAACAAGAAGAAAGATGGATATACACAAATATGAAAATAAATTATTGAAAGGACTTTATCAAACATTTGAAGATACTCATTATTTTAGGAATTTTAGGACAGTTATAGAGTTTCCAAGAATAGTAACATTTCCTTAAAGTTACAAAATTTTTAGTCATTCTATTATCAGGTATGAATATTTGCTTTCGAGTAAGAAAAAAAAATTGAGGCTGCACAGTATTTGAGACATAATAAAAAAGTCTGAGATTATGGGTTRGGGTTGTGGCTCAGCGGTAGAGCACTCGCCTAGCATGTGCAARGCCCTGGGTTCGATCCTTAGTACCACATAAAAATAAATAAAGGTACTGTGCCCAACTACAACTAAAATAATTAATTAATTTTAAAAAATTTTTAAAAAAAAGGTCTGGGATTTAAAAATCATGCCCTGGGCTGGGATATGGCTCAAGTGGTAGCATGCTCCCCTGGCATGCATGAGGCACTGGTTTGATCCTYAGCACCACATAAAAAGAATAAAATAAAGATGTTGTGTCCACCTAAAAACTTAAAAATAAATATAAAAATAAATAAAAAAAAWAAAACCATGCCCTCTTATCATAAGTACTATGTATAAAAACTCCACATTTCTCCACAGTTCCTAGAAGCTCAAAAAAAGAAACTTCACTTAAAAATAAATCTATACAAGATTGACATCCTGTAATTATTTTATCTTTATTATGAAAACAACTAAATATAAAACTAACTGTAAGCAAAGCACAGTTTGTAAAATCCCCAAATTCCCATACTAACTCTTATATTCATGTGGAACACATAAAATAACTTAATTCCAGAAAATTATGGGRAAAAAATGGTAACTTATTTGTATACAAACACACTCAAAAGAAACAAAATCTTTTTCAACAATAAAAAATCATAAACTTACATAATACATTTGAAATTTTACCCCTGCTATTTAAAAAACATATAAAACTATTTTGGACAAATGACAAAAAAATGAGACAAATTCATCACATTCCTATTAAAATAAGTGAAGCAAAATATGTAAGTTTAAATACAGCCAGTTTTACCCTACATATGAAGTTATATTTCTAGGAAAAGTAAAATAAAAACCAAAAGTTAGGCATTAATACCTAATCTAGTCATCTCCAACTTCACACTGTTGAGCCAAAATGAGAAGAGCTTAGTACTCTCATTTTTCTTTTTTTTAAACTCACCTGTACACAGGAAAGAAGACAATATAGAATAGAAACAAAAGAAACCTAGGTTTGATTCTTCCCAATAAACCAAGTTAGTTAGGAAGAGGAAAAAACAAAACAAAACAAATATATATATATATATATATATATATATATGCACACACATATACATATTTAAGAAAAATGGACATGAGAGTATAAGTGTGCATATGTGCACGTTCACTTTTCTTATTAGGAAAAATAAATCTACTATGATGTCTAACAATCAAGTCATGGCATTTTTTAAAAAGCTTTAATATGTGTTTATTATAAAGTCCTACACCAGAAAAATCTTAAATATGCATGTGTGTGTGTTTGCGTGTGTGTGAAAAACAATCTGTGAATTACAAGCATTTCTTGAAAAGGGCATTTCTTGAAAATTCAAATTAAGACCTGAAAAAATAAATTTTAGGAGAAGCTATCTTTAAAACCCTGTGTTTACCTCATTTGAGGCCTGACAATTGTGCCAACTGCTTGTTGTCAATCATTTTAAGCAAAGTTTTCTTCACACTTTGAAGATGTGATTCTATCTGGTATACTCAAAAGTACCTGTAATACCTCCTCCTTCGTGACTTTTCCCATACTTTATAATATTATTACAAATACTTTGTACTTCTCTACTAAGGCACTTAGGTAACCATTTCTTTGATTTTCTATCATTTGCTCTAATTAAATTTGAACTTCAAGGGCAAGAACTTGGTCATATCTTTGAATATGTTTCTTACCTATGTCTATTGCATAAAATTAGTGTTTTTTTAATATTCATCTTAAAGAAAATTGGAAAAATTCTTAATGACTGTCTTTGAACCTCAAAAATCTTTTCAATGATAGTCACACTGCAGTTGGAATAAGACATGTTTATTCTTATACAGAATAAATAAAAGAAAAACATTAAGTAGAATCTGTTCTGCTTACTTGACTCTAAATGTTTTCTTTACTGTTCCTAATCATTCTTGTCAAATATTTTCACTCAGGATTGTTTTCTTTTGATCGTTTCTTTGAAATTAATTTAGGTTGTTGCTGTTTTTGAAGAAACAATATTTTATTACTAAGCACTAGTTCTTATAAAATGAATCTAATGATTTACAAAGATGAGCAATGATACATATGCAAGGTAGAATAGGTGTCAAAATTAAGAATAAAATGGGGGCTGGGGATGTGGCTCAATGGTAGAGCACTTGCCTAGCACATGAATCACAGGGTTCAATCCTCAGCATCACATAAAAAAAATAAAGTTAAGCCAGGCGTAGTGGAGCACCCCCATAACTCAGTGGCTTGGGAGGCTGAGGCAGAAGGATCAGAGTCAGCCTCAGCAAAAGTGAGGCACTAAGCAATCAGTCCTGKCTCTAAATAAAAAACAAAATAGGGCTAGAGATGTGGCTCAGTATCAAGTGCCCCTGAGGTTAAACCCTGGTACCCTCAAACCCCAAAAATAAAGTTTAAAAAAAAAAAAAAAAAAAAAAGATTAAGAATAAGGGACTGGGGTGGTGGCTCAGTAGTAGAGTGCTTGCCTAGTGAGCACGTGAGGCGCTGGATTCTATCCTCAGCACCACATAAAAATGAAATAAAGATATTATGTCCACCTACAACTACAAAATATTAAAAAAGAATAAAATGAAACACAACCCAATTTCCAGACTATAATCATCTTTCAAACATTCCAATGAGGACATAAAGGAAGGAGAATAGGTCATGGTGTAAATAATACCAAACTGATAACTTCAAAAGCAATAATAATTTAATATTTTAAGCTGTAAAATATAATCAATGTGATTATAAATTTTAAATTAGGGCTGGGATATACTCAGTTGGTAGTGCTTGCCTTGCATGCACAAGGCCCTGGGTTCAATCCTCAGCACTACAAAAAATAAAATAAATAAATTTTAAATTAGTAATTCCACTTAGACCAGATTTTCATAATATCAAGAATATAGTTTTTTAATCAATAACAGTTTCTATTAGTGTGATTGGTGTGTGGGCATGTGTTTCCTCTTCTTCCCTTACTACAGTTACTCTTTTATCACATTTTCATGTTTGTCCCACATGTAGGTAAAGAGTTTGTGTACTTTGCATTAGGGAAAGCCAATTTTTGGTATGTACATTAATTTATCTTAATTGAACTTATCAAGTATCTTATGTGATACTCTGATAACACATTTAAGTAAAAAAAATTATGAGAGATTTAAGGTTTTTAAATCTATATAAACATGGAATATATATAAGAAGGAATCCTAAGGTTCCAGACACATTTTTTAAATGAGTACCAGCCTCGATTTTCATTTTTAAAAACAAAAAATAGCATCTAAAATGTGTCTTTAAATTTTATCATCTATAAAAGACTACTTATAATGCAGTACACTATTTAACTGCTAGAATCAAATGAAAAGGATGTTAACATTTCAAAAATCATTCTGAAAAACCTCAAAAGCATACCAGGCTTTCCTCAACTATTGCTTTCATTATTTCAATGTTGAAGCCAGACTTTCAAGATCAATGAGAACTCCTAAATCTACTAAAATCAAGATTATCTCAAACATTTAAAAAATAGCATAATCTGTTTTATTACTATAAAGTAATAGCTATAGTTTTACTCTCCAGAGCTCAAATACCAAAAACTGAGCATTTTTAAGTCAAACACTGTATGGTCAATATCATAAATCAGTTTAATTTAAATATCTCTTAGATATTGAATTGTAATGCAATACAGTGACTTGTATTTTAAAATTCTCTATTTATAAAATGTGATTATTTCAAAAACAGAAATAAAATAAGAAAATTTCAGGTCATAAATTATTTCAGAGATMTACCTCTTTTTCTCTCCACAAAGGAAAAAAAAAGTTTGTTTTTAAAAAAAGAAAAACAACTCCTGTTAAAAACAAATAGAATTAGAATCCTTACCTTTGGGCTGCTGTTTTTACTACTGGTATCTGTGCATGAGCATGATGAAAACGTCTACCATGAACTACAGTTCCAGAACATAATGATGCATTTTGTGTATTTTCACTGCAAAATTTAAGAAACAAAAATAATCTAAACAAGAGAAAATTACATACACAATGACAAAATAAATTCTTCTAAAATCTAAGTATACACAATAAAATCTTTACCATTTAAAAAATTTATAGATAAGCTCAATTAACTGTACAAAACTGTCCCTTGGAAGTTTTTTTTTTTTTTTTTTTTTTAATGTTTCCCATACAGTTTCAGGGGAAAAATAACAAATAGAACACTAGAACGGAAATCCAGAATCCTAAATTTTATTTCTGATTCTGCCACTAAGTTGAAAGTTACTTCACCTTTATGGATCTCAGCTATTTATAAAGTGATAGAGGAGAGCAATTTTTTAACCCCACTTCTGGTTTGTTACTGATAGTCCAATCCTAATCAGTAACAGTGGTTCACTATAAGCACTATGAAAGTTGGGTTATATCTGGAAGAGGAATAAGAAATCTATAAGAGAAAAAAAATTCCCTTGTTGAGACAATCTTAATTAGAATATCTTAAAAGACATTATGACCATCCCCCTTACAATGCCTTCTATTTCTAATATTATCACTGAAATTCCACTAACTAAATCAAAGTAAACGCATCAGATGACTGCCTATTGAAATGTTTTTTGCAGTGTTCTATTCAGAATCAAGAAATCACTGCAATCAACCCTACCCCCAAGATTCAAAGCAAAGAATCTACACATTAAGACCATCGTATATCTTGACCTACTGACAAATTCAAAAGAAAAGGTGCAGGGTAGTTTTATAGTTAAAAGATAGTTATCTTTTGGTGTTAAACCCTTTATGTTTTATGTAGGGTACTGGGGTGAGGTGCTTATACCTCAATTTCTTATTGTTGTTCAACATGTTAAGTCCAATTGGGTTGCCTTTCAAAGTTTTAAAACTTTCAGTCTTATTTCGTCTTACATATGTCTTCAAGATGAAATCACCAGAACTAGCAGCAACAGTTTCAGATGGTTGATTTAACTGTAAAAAGATCCATAAATATTAAAGAGTTAATAAACATAAAGAGTTAATAAAAATAAAATTTATCAATAAATATTTAAAAACTCATTTGTTAAAAAAATAAGTAAAAATGTTATTGGGGATAGGGGGATGGCAACAGCAGTGGCATAAACCTGAGAGTAATTCAATTACAGTACTTTTCCCTAAAAACAGTGCATATTTTTAGGAAAGGGGAGTATATTTTCTCTTCTGTAAATCTCTCCAAAGATAGTTGAAAAAAATGAGGATAGTGGATCTTAGAATAGCTTTCTCCAGAGAGAAAAAGATAAAATAATTCCTATGCTTAACAAGTCTTGTTGCTATCCAAAGGACAGTACTGCCAAATGTGGCAATCAATAGTCAATTTAACTTAGGCTTTTCTGTAAGGATTTTTGCTTTACATGAAAGTTTCTATATCAACACAGAAATTTAGATAATGTCTTTATACCTTCATGGATGCAAATGTTAGCATAAACATATTATAATCACCTTGGGGAGATCAGTATAACATAATGGCCTTCCTTAAGCTCTCATTGAAGACACCAACCTTGGTTATAGTCATTTTACAAGACACTTAAAAGCTGTTTTTCAACAATTTATGGCTAAAAGGTCCTAAATTCTTAGTGATAATTTTCCCAAAATAACATTATGAATCATTCTTATGCACTTTAATTTCATTTGTTGTTATTTTTTAAGACAGGATCTCTTCTATGTTACCCATGCTAGCCTGAGCCTCCTGAATAGCTGGGACTAGAGGTGAGTGCCACCATACCAAGCAGTTTAATCTTTCATTTTTTTGGTGCCACGGCTTGAACACAAGAGGCCCTGAGCCACATCTCCAACCCTTTTTATTTTTTATTTTGAGAGAGGGTCTCACTAAGTTACTTGGGCCATCTTTGAACTTGCAATCCTCTTGTCTCAGCCTCTTGAGATGCTGGGATTACAGGTGTGTGCTACCACACTGACTTAATTTCATTTTTGAAACAAACTTTTATTTTCTTTTTTACATTTCTTCAAGAAAACATAAGATAGTGGCAGAATGTGATGGACATCATTATAYAAAGTACATGTATGAAGACTTGAATTGGGTGTCAACATACTGTTATACAAACAGAGATATGAAAAATTGTGGTATATATGTGCATTAAGAATTGTAATGCAAAGAAAAAAACCAAAGTACATGTATAGAGGCATGAATTGGCGTGAACATACTTCATATACAGATATATGAAAAATTGTGCTCTATATGTGTAATAAGAATTGTAATGCATTCCATTGCTGTCGTGTATTTTAAAAGAAATAAAATCAATAAAAAATTTAAAAAAGAAAACATAAGATGGTATCTTGATTTTCCCCTAAGTATTTATATAGAAACCCACAGTACCTCAAGAAGTATCTCTCATAAAAAGCCCTAGCTAAAGGATGGCTATAGACAACACAAACTCCACCATCATAAGCAATTTTGTTGCCTATACAGTGCTTATAGGTTATGTAATTTTAGTCAACAAGAAAACAACCAGTAATTTTAGCTTTGTCAGATAACTATGTATCTCATTTAAAAAAAAAAGATCTTTTATTGTATTGTCAAATTCCCTTAGAAAAAAGTTTCCTACCATCTGTCATACTTGGAATAGAGCACCAAGAAAAAGAAATCACTTTATTTTGTTTTTAGAATTTTTTTTTAATATTTATTTTTTTTTTAGTTCTCGGCGGACACAACATCTTTGTTGGTATGTGGTGCTGAGGATCGAACCCGGGTCGCACGCATGGCAGGCAAGCGCGCTACCGCTTGAGCCACATCCCCAGCCCAAGAAATCACTTTAAAATAGAATCACAGAATGTAAATTTGTAAAGCTTGTCTTATCACATAATTCTAACTGCACAAAAACTCAAGAGATAATTGCTGAATTAAAACACTACACATAAACTATTTTAGATACCTGCCACATTTAACTTTTCCTAAAAGTTTTTATTTTCCATCACTTTATTTGAACTCTTAATTTGCTAAGCTACCTCAAATTATTGGTGAGAAAATAAGACATAAAATGGAGCCATTTATGGCTGATTATCTTATAAATTAGAGCATAACTATTAACAAAATCAAAATGATACATTCAGCCAAATGTGGTAGCATTTTTTCCTATAATCTTAGCTACTAAAGTGGCTGAATCAAGAGGATCACAAACTAGGCCAGCCTGGGCAATTTAGCAAGAYCTTGTCTCAAAATAAAAATTAAAAGCCAGGCACAATGGCGCACAACTGTAATCCCAGCAGCTTAGGCTGAGGCAGAGGATCACAAGCTCAAAGCCAGCCTCAGAAACTTCATGAGGCCTCATCTCAAAATAAAAAATTAAAAGGGATGGTGAAGTACTCAGTGGTAGAGTACCCCTGGGTTCAATCCCCGGTAATGCAAAAGCAAAAAGGGAAAAAAAAAAAAAAAAAGCAAGAGTGCTATAAAACAGATGGATTAGCACAAAACAATCACATTTCTAGAAAGCCTCACTGAGGTCAGTTACACATTAACAAAGAAAAACTATTAAATAACTACATTTAATAATGTTAACAAAATGTAGCCATTAGGGAAGATATAATGCTAGTGCCATGCATTATATGAATTACATTCATATAAAATGTCACAAAACTCTATAAAAGTGGATAGTTGTCAACAGACTTAGAATCTGATATTTTATATAAAGTTTATCCAAATATTCAAATCTTCTGTTATAATATAAAAAGTAGTTAATACAATACATAMATGAGTATGGTTGTTTTCCAGTAAAATTTTACTTTATGGACACCAATTTCAATTTTATATATTTACTTGTTGTGAAATAGTATCCTTTGATTTTTTTTAAAGCATTTAAAAATGTAAAAACCACTCTAGCTTATGGACCAAAATTTGCAGGCCATATTCAACTCATAAACCTTCCATTTGCCAATCCCTAAATGATAACATCAATCATTATGTAACTAATGCATAACCAATCACTAGAAAATAAGTTCCATAAGAAAAATAAACTTATCTATTTGCTAGCACCAAGAACATTGTGTTCAAAATGTATTTACTAGCTGGGTGTAGTGGTGCACACTTGTAATCCCTGCACGCCTAAAATCCCAGCAGCTCGGGAGGCTCAGGCAGGAGGATCGTTGAATTCAAAGCCAGCCTCAACAAAAGCGAAACCCTGTCTCTAAATAAACTATAAAATAGGGCTGGGGATATGGTTCAGTGGTCGAGTGCCCTGGAGTTAAATCCTTGGTATCAAAACAATAAAAAAATAAATAAATAAATTTACTGTATGAATAAATATTTCATTGAAATTACTAAATGTGCAAAAATCATCACATWGTTAATTTTAGGAGAGAACAGATACTCAGGAAATTTAACACATAATAATTTCAGATCAATAAGAGAGCCCTAAAAGATATTAAAAGATTACTGGCATTAAAAATGTTTAAAAACAGGGACTGGGGATGTGGCTCAAGCAGTAGCACGCTCGCCTGGCTTGCGTGCGGCCCAGGTTCGATCCTCAGCACCACATACAAAGATGTTGTGCC